GGGGCGGGACAGCGGCTTGAAAAGGCCTGTTGAGAAAAGCATTAAACCCTGTCCCCTAGACTGAATTCTATTTTGGATATGAAACGCACTACGATTTGTCAGAGTACCGATTCACTTTGGACGCCCTGTGCACACGTTTGTCCTTCAAGCCTTCCCCACTACAGGGTCCACTTTGCCCCAAGGGAAATGAACGGCTTGCAGGTTTTCGACGCTTCAGTGCACAGCCTGCGTTTCTGAATTCGAGTTCAACATGCTTTTCTACGCCACAGCACCTTCATTTTCACTAGGAGGGTTTGAATAATTCAGTTGATCCAATTGTGGAAAATTCGCGGCCTCGTTGGGAGACGAACCCACACAGCAAAGAAGGCTTTTGCGCAACTAACGCTCTACCATTAAGCTACGAGGCTTATCCCGAAACATGAATTTAATCACACCTACTGTTCGTTGTTTTTTTCAACTGTAGACCAAAATCTACTTCTGCCTGTTCTTCAGAATACTTGGACGGCCATATATGCAGATTAGGCTATCGGTTGTTGACTGAATGTCTGACAGCCGTCTGTAGACTAGGGGTCGTGAGTTCGAATTTACAAGTGGAAAGGCAGAAATGAGACAAATTTATAAGTTTTAATAAACAAAAATATTTCCTACACCAGCAGATACCTATGATGATAGAGGCAGCCACCATACGGTTCACCAATCCAATTTGGCACTCTCACTTGGCGTTGATTCTAGCCATCAATCTGCCCTGGCCCATATTAGACTTTAGATCTTCGTATCCTCATTCTGTCGTGTCATGTTACAGCGATGAAACATAAATATTGTTCTCTTTTTCCCCTGCCAAATTATCTCTGGCTCTAAAATAGTTAAATTCTCATACTTCTCCCCTGAAAAAAGGTAGATTTATCCCGGAGTTCAGATATAAAGGTTCCAACTTTGGAGGGGCATAAATGAACAGCTTTCATGGAATTGTCAATCTCCGGGGTAGCACTCCTGCGGACGGTCGCACAAAAACCAGAAATTGCTAATCGCTCAATGCTTTCCAGTGGTAGGTTTATGGACTTTTTTTCCCTGAAGATGTTGGTCTCTTTCCAAGATTCCTGAGAAAAAATTGAACAAAATCGGAGTAGCGGCACAGTTTTCAGCTGAAATGTCGACGCTAATCTTGCGTGAAAACCTTTTCTGGCGTACAAAGCAGACTGTAGTACGAAAGAACTGTTACCATTGGTCGTTTCTATGAGATTTTCTGTGTACTCCACAGCATGGTGGTAAAGGGATAGCGAATTGAGCGTGAAATAGCTTTAGGTTGTACTAGACTTGTGCTGTGTCTACAGCAGTGTCTCTTCCCTGTCTTGCCTGGGTTCATGACCACGTTAAGAAGACGGTAGGCGGGAGGGGGCACAAGCAGTTGGCGCGGTCGGAGCCATCCTTAGATGGGCCGCTACATCCGACCCAGGTCCCACTGACTGCGATCTAAGGCCGCCAATCGACTACTTCACACATGCAGACGTAAGGCCGTCTGCACGATCCGCGTTAGCCTTTCATTGGCAGCCTTCCAAGCCAGAGCTTTTAAAGAACCACAATAGTATAAGGCCTGTCAGACTGCTTATAGGGAGAAAAGTACACTGAGCCGTCGACCCTGCTTTCTACTCTCAGTTCTCTGTTAAAATCAGCATACGCGAACAACTGCTTAACAAATGTGTTGGATCGAAGAAAATCCACCGTAGTATGTGGCAAAATTTTGCGACAAGTGTAGATCACCCAAAGCCACTAGCTTGCGTTGGGCAGCAGACGTTTGTAAAACCTTTGTGGAACAAAATCAGACGAACTGCGAAATTCTTCAGACGGTGAATATTAAACAGAAAAGTCCTTTGACTTCTTTCTTACTAGAGGTGTTCCGACTTCAGTATAAAGCAGCGTACGACAAAGAGATCACATTTCTCACCGTTAAAAGACACATTTTCCCAAAACTCCGAGCTATACTCCGCTTTCACAAGTTAACAGTTATGGGAGTTTCACTTTTTTCGTTCTTGTGAACAAGACACAGCTGTGCACCCTTTCATATTAGGACTTTGAACTCATCAATTCTTCTGTAAATGGTAGGGATTTCTAATTCAGAGGATTTAAGTCAATAAATTGTGCGAAAAAGAAAATAATATATTCGCATTGCTAGACCTTATTCAACCAGATCTTGTATTTTCAGGCCTTTACTGTTTCAGAGATTAATTTCTCCGTTCAGTATGTAGCAGTTTATTTAAAGTCTATAGACCCAGACA